TGGTAAATATAATTTTTGAAAGTTTTATAATTCTTACTTCTGTACAGCTTTAGATTTTGGTAACCAGTCCCAAAGGGAGAATAGGGAGAGAAATAGAAGAAATAAGACACGCGTTAAAACTTATGGTAATGTAAAAACTCTTGAGAATTTTCCTAAACTTTTACGTCCTTGGTTTTTTTGATTTGATAGAGAGGTTGAAAAGGCAAACAAATTACAACTTTACATAAGTTATAATTTGTTTGACTTTTCAGTAATCGTAATGTAAAGTAATTAATAATATTATATCAAATAAAATATGTCTTATACAAGATATTTTTAATACAAACGATATTATTCTTGTCACATAAAATATCAAAAGATAGCGGTTTTAGATTGTAAATGATATTTGCTTTAGATAATCAATGGCCTAGTCATTGCTGCGTTTTTAAAATGCTACGTCACCATAAGTTAACAAAGATAACATAAGACATTGATGTGCTTACCAACAACTTAATTGTATAAATATTTGATAGAAACTGTATTGTACAATTTTTACGAAATGAGCCTCTTTTTTTAGTTATTTAAGCTTCAAGTGTTTTAAAAAGATAAAATAAAAAATAGTGCTACCTTTGTGACATTTTAAAAAGTTCTATAATAAAAGTGGATATAAAAACGGATGCCGGATTAGTTATTCAAAAAGATATCTAAAATGACAATTTTAGAAGTTTTAAATATATATATATATATATATATATATATATATATATATATATATATATATATATATATATATATATGTATAATGTTACAATTATCATGTTATACGAAATGTGAAACTTATCACTAAATACCCTTATATGCTCTATTACTTTATTTTTTAAGTTTTTCTTATTTTAATACAATATAATTTTTTTAATAATCAAAAAAAAAAATTAGTTTAATTTTAAAAATATTTTTATGGCAATCAATAATATCATATTATTGAAAACAATAACTTGTTTATGAAGCTGCAAGTTGTGGTATTCTCTAATCACTACAAAGCTTTAAAAAATTTTATTATTTTTAATGTTTTATTTCCTTAATTATACAACTCCCATCTTAAAGCTGACCGACCTTTTTGCTTCAAAACAATCCGGCAAGGATTAAAATTTGTTTACTTTTGTAATGGTAAAAAAAGTCTATTGTTACGTCATTTGTAAACGCGATAGAAAAAAAGAGATATGTTTAACACAAGGGTTTGTTGAATATACGGAATTTTTCTGAACTAGGGTTGACACATTCAAATGGATAAACGCGAAAGAAGGAATATTTTTAAATTAAAATTTAGTGTATGCGTGTCATTTTGTTTATTTAGTTGAACATTAAATGACTTTTTCATTAATAAGTTCTTCGTGGTTAACATTTTGTACAAAATTAATGTCAAATAACGTTTTTTATAGCTGGACGGAAATCTTTTTATACGTGAATGTATGTGTATGACGAATAAGAAATATTTAGTTATATAAAATATTAAAGTTATAATAATTAATAGTATTATTTTCAAAATTAGAATGGAAAAAATAGTGCAAAAGGTGAAAAAACAAAAAGTGGACGAACGAATTTGTTCAAATCATTCAAAAAAGTCTTCTCTGCTCAGTAAAACTCTAATGACTCTTGATGGATTTCTGCTTTCAACGTTTTCAAACATGGGCTCTTGCATTCCTGATAAACTTGTTACTAAAGAAGAGCTAATTAAAGAACTTAGTGACGAAATCAATGAATACGGAAAGTCAGCAAAAAAGGTTTTAAAATTGTTTTACAAAAATATATATGAATATTTACAAAATTTAAATTATTTTTAAAAAGGTTTTTATCCAAAAGAAATTTAAAAAATTCTGCATAGAATGAAAAAGAAATAACTTTGGGATTCAGACGACGCACATCAACCATTTCAGAGTTTAAAACCAGTGAGTCACGCACTAAAGAGATATGCAGGCGCAGTTGGGGACCAGATAACACCTGGTCCAGTCAATTTGTCAGCGTAAACTCTTTTACAAATACAAAATGTAAAGAAATGAACACATACAACAAAAGTGATACTACAGTTTCAAATAATCAAAACTATAAAAAAACAATCAATTTTAAACCAAAAGAGGTATTAGAAAAACGTAAAAAAGACGTAATGAAGATGTTTTCTTGGCAAATAGGCGAAAGTCTAGACTATGTTCACACTGAAAAGGCAGAAAGTCTTATGGACGTGGAAACAATTTTAGACGTTATGTTAACTTCAACAATCCCAATACAAGTAACGTTTAAAGTCAATTCCTCGATAGACATTTCTATAACCTATCAGTTTTTACCGAAATTCAAAGACGAGTATATGGTTTTAAAAATTAGCCGAACCCATTGCATGGTTATGCGAGCGTTTTAGAAACGAAGACCTTTGGTGCAATCGTCGTTATAACTGACAATTTTTTATGTAAGTTATTATATAAGTGTACGCCTATAAATAACACTCTGTTTCCTGCTCAACTATTTTCAATTGTCGTTATATTATCTCCGGAGTTTATTGTTAAAACGATTTTCCGTTTTTTATTTTTATTTTGCTTTTGTAATATACAATTTTTTTTTCTTGTTAAAGAAAAAATATAAGATTAATATAAAAATTTTGTAAAATAGTAGATAAATTCTCTTTTAAAGTATTTTGTTTTCAAAATAAACATTCTAATGTATTTGTTTTTCAAATAAAATATATATATATATATAATTTCTAAATTTGTTTTATCATTTATAAGTCTAAAAATAAATCACATTTAATTTGCGCTAAAGGTAGAATATTTTACCCTATGTAAAGGCCAGCGCAAAAAAAAAGTTTGTTGAATAAGCAATCTCTTGAAGTTTAAAACATTAAAAATATTTGTGTACATATTCCCAACGTCTTAGCTTTAAGAACAAGCGCCATGAAAAAGTCATAACTTAAAGAAAATAAATAAAAAACAAATTAATACTAAAAACAAATTAAGACTAAAAACTATTAACGTAATATTTGTTCCTCTAACTTGGTCAGTAATAGTTTTGGAGATATCGCAAGCGCTAAGTAATAATTGTTTTTAGGCATTAAGTATGACGTAATACATGTTTTATTTTCATAACCAACGTTCAAATCAGCAATATATAATACGTTTCAGCAATACGTAATCATATAATATAATACGTTTCAGCATACGTATATATATATACGTATATATATATATATAATACGTTTCAGCATACGTAATCAGCAATATATAATACGTTTAACGTTAAAGTTAAAAAAGTTAAAACAAACAAAATAACGCATAAAAAAAAAAAATTATAAAGTCAAAGAATTTTCATTTATCAGAATTTAATAAAAATCTAGTTCTTTACCGAAATGATTTTGCGTACCATATTTGTCAATATGTATGTTAAGGAGAACGAACCTAATTAAGTTTACGTTGACGTCATTATGAAGAATCTGTTGCTGAGCATAAATTTTAAAAATGTAAAAATAATGTCAAACCGTTAAACTGTTTAAGTCAAATATTCATAAAGTTTTTTCATAACTTAATTATTTATTAGAAACATCAAGGACATCAAGTTTTCTAGGCTAATTCTATAATTTATTCAACATTTATACATCATTTATGTACTTTAATATTAAAACTATTTTATTATTATTATTAAATATACAATTTTATTTAATATATCTTACACAAAGTATGAGAACTTAAACAATATTAATGCAGAGTTCGTTCAAAAATTACGTCACGAAATTTTTGATTATTTTGGTTTTCTCCACTCCCCCCCCCCCTCCCTCTTTGTTACAATATCGTAACCCTTTAGTAACAAGTTCCATATGAGTCGTCACACACACCCTCCTCCCTAAAGCGTGACGTAATTTATGGACGACCTCTACATTAATATCGTTTAAGTTCTCATACTTTGTTTAAGAAATATTATATGAATGATTGATTAACAATATTAATTACAATTAATATTGTGAACTAATATTAATTGTAAACGTATTTCTACTGCTGACCAATATAAACAAAAATTAAAAGTTAATAATTAATATAAACAAATAACAAATTAAAAGTTGTTTATTTGTCAAAAATTAATGGCTTATTACATATTTTATTTCTAAATATTAATTTCAAGAAAGCTCTAATTAAACAGCTTGACAAATAATTAAATAGAGGCTCTCGGCGTATTCATTCATACAGTACTTATGAGTAAAACTTATGAAAAAAAAAAAACATTTAAACTCAATTCTCATGTAAACTTGACTAAAAATAATAATATATAGAGCATAATCTGGCGCCGACCATTTTCAGAGGAGTAAGAAAACTTCAAATAAAAATGGTTTAAACAATTTTTAAACTGATAATAAATTTAATTTTGATTAAATTTATTATCAGTTTTCGTATTAGAGAATGTTCAACTTGATGCCATAAATTTCAATAGATTGGATATCAGGCAATTTAGCTGGCTACTTTCTTAATTCATTTCGAGTTGTTGCAATTACTATTGTTTAACGAGTTAAGACGTGTGTTTTGGGTCGTTGTCTTGTTAAGAAAAGATATATAGTTATAAAAACCAGCATGATTTTTTCCTTAAGAATATAACTATATACAACTTGATTTATAATGCCATTTATTCGATAGATTGGTCCAACTTCACTAAAATTACAAAAACAACTCCAAACACTGCATCTTTTCCGCCACCATGCTGGAATGTTCCTCTTGTGTATTTAGGATCCAAGCGTTTACGTTTAGGTCTAAATAACTTGAAACTGCTACTAAGATCTTTCAAATTTTATATTGATTTATTGCTTCGCAAATTTCATTTTCAATTATTAATGGTCCAGTGTCTTGGAGCATTTTCAAATTTAATTGTTTTCTTTAAAAGAATTTCGTTTCTTTAGAGAAGCGAAAGGTTTTTTGCTGTTCTGAAGCTCAGAAGTCTTGAAAATTGTAACCGTCTGCAAACTTTATTTTGGAACACTAAAATTTCAGTATTTGAATGCTATCATTAGCGCTGTCAAAAAGATTCTTTTTAACGTAATGAATAATTTGCCTATCTATAAAATGAAATTTTTGCATGGTCTTTTAGAAATTTTAGTTTAACTGAAGTCAAAAAAAAATTTTTTTTGACTTCTTTTTATAATCTTTAATAACGAGCTATTGAAAAGCTAAATTATACTTGTCTCTTGCAACTATTAAGAGTACGTACCCCGAAAAATCATTTTAAGACAGAAACTGTTAATATTATAAAATTCTCACATCAAAGTAGTACAAAACTATGATCTCAAGTCAATATCATTCATTTACATGTGACACCGACCGCAAAAATAACACTTAACTTTTTTTTTTTAGTTGTTGTTAGACCATATTTTCAAATTAAATACTAACACATGCAAAACAACACGTTTATACATTTTTAGGTAGTCGTATTACGTACAAATCTTTTACTTGTATTAATTGTTAGGAATTTGGTTTCCGTTTTTTTAAGAAGAAGTTCTGTATTCAGTAAATTAAGTTGAAAAAACAAAATTTTTATTAAGTTGTTTATGTTTTGGTGAACAGTGTATATGAATTTAATGGATTTTTGTTATGCGTTGATTGCCTTAAAATTTAACTTAAAATTATTTATTGTTGTTAAATTCTTCATGGCATAAAATAACAATTCTTTAAGTTAACAAACTACATGATATGGAATTTAGATAAATCATCAACAAAATTGTGAACAGTGAACTGTAAAGTTGCGCTTACTGTAATAAAACTATTTCAAAATGTGGAGAAAAATTTGAAGATAGGGCGGGGCTAGTTGAGCATATAGAAAGTTAGGCCGTGGTTAGGACCAAATAGAAAAGACCCAAAATAGAAAAAGTTCTTGTGTATATCGAGTGAGATATTCAAGCACTTTTTCTATTTTGTGTTTAAAATGTGAGAAAAACATTTTTTTTTTTTTAATTTTTATTTTTTTTACTTTTTACTTTTTATTTTGCTTTTTCTCTAGATGTTTAAAAAAAAAAATTATTTTTATTATTTATTATTTTTATTTAGCATTACCTAAGTGTTGATATTTTGTTAAATTGTTGATATTGTATTAAAATTAACAATACTTTTTGTTATAGAAAATCTTATAGTATAGTTGCTCAAATCAAGTTAATTGCGTTGCCTAATTATTGATATTTAATGTAAATCAGTTGATTTTTTACCCTCATATTCTCTTCGGGCATTTATTTTTGAAAGTTACGTTTTAAATACTAAACGTCTTTTGAACGTTCTTTACGTAAGAGTATTTAGAAGACGTTTAAAAGACATTTAAAACACATTTAAAACGTAACTTTTAAAAACAAATGACTGCTGGGTTAGCTGACATTTTAGTTTCGTCTCGAGAATCCGCATTTTGTTAAACTTTAAAAAGTTTTTTTTTTACTCGTGAATAAAATCTTTAGAGCATCAATTGCACTAAAATGGATTAAAATGGATTAAATTGGATTAAAACTATGAAATAAAAATTTCAAAAGTAAGTATTTCAAAAGTTCTTTAGGATCGTATGGTACAAATGTAACAAATTATAGTCCTATTACAGTTCTTCAAATTGTTTTAAAAACTTTATCAAGAATAATGAATAATGGAATCTACTCTTATCTTATTTAGAATAAAATGCTGTATGAAAACCAATTTGGTTTAAAAAAAAGTAATTCAACCAAGCATGCCATTCTTCAACTTACGCGCTCTATAACTGACGACTTGTTTTACACAGGAGTGTTTATTGATTTGTCCAAAGCATTTGATACCGTCAATCATCAAATCCTGTTAAAAAAACTAATGTCATATGGTTTTAAAGATATGGTTCAAAAAGTTAATGTTATGGTTCAAAAGTTATCTTAACCGTAAACAGTTTGTTTACAATAAAGATTCTATATTTCATCTATTAATAAATATAACATGTGGTGCTCCACAAAGATCCATATTTGGCCCACTCATTTTTTTTAGTATACATAAATAATCTTATGAATCATCAAACTTAACAACAATTAGGGCTGGAATTAGGGGAGTGCGTAGGAGGTGTGACACCCCATTCCTCCTTCCCCTAAACAGTAAATCCTAGTTGGCAAAAAATGAGTTGAGTTACCTTAGTCGGAAATTCAAAATGAATTTCTTTAAAAAATGATATTTTATACATTATTTTTAGACTTGAGTTTGCTCTATCAATGATAAAAAATGGTTAAAAACAAACCGTTTCAATTATAGAATATTGATCAATACCTAACAACATTCTATAGGAACTTCAGTAAGTAAAATTGAGAATAAATTGAATAAAAGAGCGGTAAGAACAGATGATTGAAATTAAAGTATAATTAGATATATATTGAAATTAAAGTATAATTAGATATATATGCGTCTACCATGTCCGTTACTGGTTTTATTTATCGGTTTCTACAGCTCATTTATCTGTTTTCTGAACAATTTTACTAAAAAGCAGATTTATTTTGTTAGAAGTATTATATAG